CTCCTACCCACAACCCCTGCCATCCATGCCTCGCTCGGTCACTCCGCTTGGAATAGCTCAACTCAGTGCTTGGGCGTGTTTGCCCTGGAGGCAGCCAGACCTTCAGAGTGCAAACAGATTGCATGTGATTCCGGTGCTGTCGCGCTTCATCCTTTCCCCACCCATGCAGCGTAGCGACATTCGCGCATGAGGGTCGACCACAATCCTTCGGCGGTGAGACTCAAGGACCGGCCGACCTGGAGGCGCTCTTCGGCCTCTTCTTCGTGCCTCATGACACTGTCACTTCGAGCTGTTGGAATCCAGTTCCCATTTCTGACAAATTATGCCCATACATTGGCCATATGATCAGAAAGAGATCCTCCATGACCAATTTGGTCTCCTACTTCGAGTGGTTGGAGAGTCTTCCACTTCGAACATCCAGTTGATCCCAGGTACTAAACACACTCGTGACATCTAACCCCCCTCAGCTGCTGGGACCAGCACAAGCCGCACACCGGAGGAGAATGTTTCATTTTCAGGCCCGAGCTGCGCCCAGAGCTGTACAGAGCTGTACGCCGGTTTTCTGGCCAAAACCAGGTGCTTCTGCACACGATGAGTCTGTCGCTTGGTGGGCAGTCGAAAACCATCTACCACCGGTCCTCAGCGAGGTGTCATGAAGGGCCTGTGGTTTTGTCGGAGTGTGCAAGATCCAGGCTGATCTATAACAACGGCTGTGGCTCATCGGACTCTGGTGGCCCAAAATGAACAAACAGGACCCTCAACCAGGTCAACCGATCCCATTGTTTTAGGTTGATATGTCTTCGACCCCCTCAAGTTCCATTGTGCAGCTGCTCAGTAACGATCATGACAACTAGGGCCACTAGGGTCACCGGATTTGCACATAGATGTCCAAGGCCCAAAACCAGTTTGCCACTGCTGCTGCTGCTGCTGCATATATATATATATATTTAAATATATATATATATATACAATGTATGTATATATTATATGTATAAATATATCATCATAAATCAATATGTAGACTAATACAACACACATATTAAAGACATATAAAGATGCAGCTTATGGTGCTCGTATCTAGCAGATGTGCAAATTCACGTCTCTGCTCTTTCCATTTCAAACTTCAGCAATGTGTCCGTCGGGTGGGTTGGGTCCTTGACCCAGACAGATGGTTCAACTCCTGGGGTGTTCCCCAAGGGTCAACCTTGGTGCTAGCTGCTTTTGTTACTAGTAGCTTCTTGCTCCTAGTAGTAAGGCCAGGAGCTACGAGTTACTAGCGATGCCAGGAGCCCCGTTCGTAGCGTCCGATCGCTCCTAGTTGTTTTTGCGTTTGCCCAACAAAGCGTCGATGTCATCGATCCAACAGCCATGGCTCCCCGACGCGATCCGTGGGCGACGGACAGCGCTGCCAGGACTTTGATCCACTGCGGAAGGGCTATTGCGCTGCGTCCCAGGCACCGGGCGATCGGCGATCGTGCCCGTTGGGACGTCGCAGCGGTTGGCTCGTCGAAACATGAGCCACTGGGAGCAAACGTTGAGAAAGGAACATGAAAAACAAACACAGTGATGTTGGCTTCTTTCCCCCGAAAGCCAAGAGTCAAGAAGGCTTGAAAAAAACCCTTCTTCGTTTGAACTTGCTGTTTTTGCGGGACTCTGGTGCCAGGAGTTTCTAGATCTGCTGTTTCCACGATGACAGAATTCTCCCAACCAATGTGAGATCCCCAGTGAGTTGCACTGCTGCACCCATGGAGCGCGGTCTTTTTTGAACATGTAGCAGCTGCAGTTCAAGCAGTTCGAGCAGTTCACATCAGTTCAACCATCTTTATATGGATGTTTCCTTGTTTTTACCATTTTTTTTGCTGTGAAGAAGAGGCATAATTACTGTACAGTGCCTCCGAGTATGTATACGGATCATTACGGATCCAGCTTATTATTTTATACTTTTGGGTCTTTCTGGTTGAGTTAGCAGTGGCCTAGGGTGTTTGAGGGATGTGCGTGTGCCTGGCACCCATAGTTCACGAGTTCCTTGGCTTTGGACGTACCAACTGTCCACAAGGTGCCCAGACATCATTGCATCATGTGTTTCCACAATCCAACAGAATCCTATGATATGAAAAAACACTTTCGCGGTGTAGGGCTTAGTTGTTCGGATTTTGTTGGGAGGTCCGAGTCCCAAACAAAGCATTGCGGAGGTCGAATCTATCATACTCAAAGATGTGAATCAAAAACGGATGATCACAGACCTTTCGTTTAAGTGGAGGGATTCCCCAGCCTGCATGCTTCTGCGTCAGGAATTTGAACCGGCCCTTTTCCCATAGGGAAAAACAAGAAACACAAAACACCGGTCGCATCCGGTTGCATGGCCGACTTCACGCTCTGCAAAACACCACCGGTCCGCTCGCGAAGTGATTTCAGCGCTCGCGCTCGCGCTCGGCAGGTGAAGACAGTGCTCACCATCCTGAATTTGAGCAAGATTGCCATGAGCCAAGGGTGGCCGGTTTTCTTCAATCGAACATGGCTTGGATGATAGGAGAAGACAAGAAACTAAGAGGCTTGAGGTTTTCCCAGGACCATCCTGAGGATGTACTTAGCTCCTAAGATCACACAGAGTACCTCCTGGATCTTGAACGTAGAATGCTTTCCACTGAACTTGGTCCAAAGGATGTTTTAGCCATACACTTGAGCTCCCAAAGGCACGTCAGGCAGTGTCTGAACATGCTAAGGGGATTGCCAATTTTTGTTCCCAGAACAAAGAGCTTGCAACATGGTCACAGCACTGCCACCATTGAGGTGACCCGCGAAGACTACGATCAGCTTTTACAGACCTACTGCCGCGAGGATGGCCTCTTGCTCCCAATTGAGGGAAGGGAGGAGCTGGTATGAACGGTGTGGGCAACGTGGACACCCTACGATGGGTACCCTCACATTGAGCAAACATTAACAAACATCTTAAGATGAAATAGGAGTCAAATGGAGTCGAGGATGTCCCTTTGAATTTCTTCAATCCCTTTAGCAGCCATGCCACGTGAGTGCACCGCACACTGAACTGATTGGTCTTTGGATGTCTTCGGCATCTGAAAGTAGCGCGATGAGTGTAAACCAGGAGCGTGCAGCATGTGTGTGTAATATATATATATATATACTGTATATAGAAGTACAACATGCACAGGAAAACCCAGCGATGCACTTGGTACAGCAACACCCAGCAAGCTTATTTCGTGGTCTCCAGTCCATTAGGGACCTTGTGAGATGTTTCGAAGTGCTCCATCTCTTTTCCGGGCGCAACATGCGCGCCCATCCCCGTCTGTCGAGCCTTTAGGTATGTTCTGCTATGGCGACTTTTGCGCCGATGTGAACAAGGCGCCTCGGACCCGCAGAATCGGCAGCAGCTCGGGCGGCTTGACATCCAGACCGAAGCCTTTGGTGTGCTTTCAGACAAACGAATTTCCCGGAGTCAGACAGCATGAGGATCAACATCAAAGTTGGGTTATTTGGGTTTGCCAGTTCGGTTGTTCTTTGAAGTTCAGAGTCTCCCTGACGGCCATCCCAACCATTCGAGTCCTCCACATGCGTACTCGCTTGCTAAACTACAACATAGATGTTCCTTTTGCGACTCCCTGTCCTGGCGCTTTCTTGATAGCTTCCAGGGGTGACCCTGTATCTTTTGACTCGTAGGGCAACCTGACAGATATGCAGAGTTTGTTGAGTCCCATTTCACCCTGACTTTGGTTGTTTTTGTCGATCAATCCGCAAAGACCATCCACAAAGACCCTCAAACGCCAGAAACTAGACGATCTGGACTGAAAGAAGCGGACTCTGGAGATTTTTATCATTTGGGCAGGGACTCCTGCAAGGAAACATGCTTGTGTATTTTCATTATGGAGTCCGACCCTGATTGAATGATCACAAAAGATCCAAGAATAGAACAAAGCCAATGGTAGGACGGTACCCGTTCCATCCGTTTCTGGCGCTGACGTCGACTTCAGGTCTTTGCTACACCGAACCTGGAGAAGGATGTTGACCGAGACACCGGTGGAAATCTCGGGAGGGGGAAGCGATGACATTCCAAGGGAAGATGCTAGAAGTGTGATATTTGGCTAATCATTGGGCAATGCCAAATCAGTGGAACTTGGGTCACCTGTACTGGAATGGTGTTAGCAAGTTTTGCATCAGGCTGGTCCGTCAGGGCAGACTACAAGTTGCCTCAACCCCTTTGCATGTGTGGGACACATTTTGCCTCATGACGTTGTACACGTGTAAAAAAGCCACCCAATGACAGCTTGGTGGGCACGTTGACATACGTTGACCCCCGGAGGGAACACACTGCATTTCAAGCCGAAGCTTTCTGGCTCAGCAGTGCTTCTAATGGACGAAGCGCAGCATGTTCCCTTGTGCTGATGGATCAGATTCAGCGAGTCCTTGTGAATCACACACTAACCAACAACATGGCCCTCGTATGGTTCGGGTTTGTCTCCAACATTCTCCAACCAATCAATGGACCTGGCTTCCCCTCGTTTCTTCAGCTCTTCAATTTGATCGCCGATCAAGTTATTGGGCGAGTGTCGCGAGTGCACCAGGCGAGTGGACCGCACGGTTGGACCGCTTGCTGTCTTCTTTGCTCGACCAAATGTGTCTGTCTTGGTTCCTTCGTATCTACCCGGAGTTGTCCATCGACCGGTGTCGGTCCAAGTTTCTTGCCGCTCTTAGGTTGGAGGCCGTCGCTAGTACAGTCCATGCAAGGTGGTTTGTCGGTCCAAGAGGTCCAAGCTTTTTCCTTCAGCCCGAGGCAGGATGCGCGGATCGTTTCCATCAGCGGTGTAAGATGAAGGCGCTTAGGCTTCCCTACTTTGAAGCAGTCAGGAGCAGACCACCCTGGAAGACCACCAAAGAACCACACGGATTTTCCTGCATCACTCATGGCATGGCTGATCTGTCGTCTGGGATGAGCTATTTCGGCTTGCAGGTGGATCAATAGGCAGCTCGAAGAGAAGATCAAGTCCAGAAAATGGTTGAATCACGTGGAGATTCTGCGGTCTTTCTAAGAAAACCGGAACTTAAGCTTAGGAACTACCTGCAATGGCCGAAGCTGCTGGAGTGCCCAGCTGGCTTTTTATCCAATAAACATGGCCAGTAGTAAGGGGCCGTCTTCCTCTCTTCCTGCGGTTCTCATTAAGCTTTGGCATCGACAGTAGCGGCAAAGAGATGAATATCCAGGATATCCAAGTCAATTCGCATGTCCTTTGACATGTTTATATATTTTTCCTATTTCCCTTGGTCAGTTTCCACCAGCCACGAGACATTGGAGTGTGGGGTTTGCGACCTGCCGCGAATTGTTGCGATTGTCAGGCTTCCAATGTGCGTCCAATTAATTGCCAAAAGGAGTCACCCAAATACAGAATTCTAATTCTGTAGGTTGGAGGCCATTGCTATTAGGGTGGAGCTTCACACGAGCTCACCATGTTTTTCCGCTAATTAGGAAGGTGACTCCAAGAGCCAGACCTCCGCATGATGGAAACCACTGGAATCGCAAAGTGCCAAGTGACGTCAAATGGAAGGGGAGAAGTCTAAGACACTTTGAAGAAACTGTGGCACTTGTTTCTACTAGCTTTATTGTTACTACCAGTAAGGCACTTGTTACTACTAGCGTGGCACTTGTTTCTACTAGCTTTATTGTTACTACCAGTAAGGCACTTGTTTCTACTAGCGTGGCACTTGTTTCTACTAGCTTCTTGTGCTCTACACCCAGGATTCAGTGAGTGGGTCCGTCCTTCAAACATCCCCTTCCGCATGATTCCGCATATCCAACCGGGAGAGCAAGGCCATCAACGTGGGAGACCGCGTGGCGGTGGGCGAGACCAAGGTTCGGTGGCGAGCAGTTGCGACATGAAGGGGCGATGGCCAAAGGCCAACACTTGGCAAGAGAGCCAGGAGTGTTTTTATTTTTTTTTCCGCAGTATATATATACAGTATAACCAACTATAGACAAAAGACTTAAAGAGATAAAAACAAACAGAAGGTACGGTAAGGGTCCCTTTAACAAAGCCAAGGTGGCCAAATTGAAGAGGCCCTAGAGGCCCGTACCATCCCTTACGATCACGCGCGCTTACCCTTTTCTTTGTCTTAGTCTTCTCTTTCTTGTGGGATTCTCATCGAGACTAGTCTCATGGCTCTCTTTCGACTGAGACACACCTCAGAGATCCGAGGGAAAACGAACGTGCGAAGCGATTGTCAGAGCGGTGCACCTCTCAGTCCTGCTATTTGATTTCCAAAACGACAACATGCTTTGCCTCTCCACTAGTAACAAGTGCATCGCTACTAGTAGCAAGGTGCCTTACTACAAGTAACAAGAAGCTACTATATTATATAGTAACTGTTTGCTACTTGGTAGTAATGCACTCAATACTATATAGTAGCGATTCGATGCACTTGTTACTAGTAACAAGAAGCTATACGAACGTGACACCAAATGTCGCCACAGGGCCACCTCGCACAGATGCGCACGCACGCGTGGTTTCCACCTGGTCAGTTGTTGGGCACCGTGAAGTTCGTGGGCAAAACCGAGTTCGCCACCGGCGACTGGATGGGGATCGAATTGGATGAGAAGGCACGATGCACCGAAGTTTTCTTTACTTTTTCCAACTGTCGAATGTGGGCTAAAACTAAATATTGGAGAAAGGGGGTCAGGTTCGGGGATCTCGTTGCTATAATATGCTTTCGCTTTCAATTATTTGGGGCTTATGGCATGCTTATTGGGACAAGTGGGTGGCTGCCAGCAGGGTCGGTTTGACGCTGCTTGATTTCATTTCTGAGAATAACATTCTGCTAGATCATCGATATTCAACAGTGCCATTTTGGTATTTGTATGCATTTTGTTGGGTGAACATAGCTGCACATTTGTCTTCGACATGTTCTTGATGATGTCTTGTGTTTTGAAGTATTTGTTGCATGGTGTTGAGCAACAGAAGACGGTGCGGAGATGGCACTGGAACGGTCGCCGGAACAAGCTGGGACTTTGTGTTACCGAAATTGCCCGACTCCCTACGACGACGTCGACGTGGTGGAAGTACCACGTCGATGTCCACAGCGCCAGGCCGGGAAGAACGATGGCCAGGTGAAGGAGAAGCGGTACTTCCAGTGCCCCGCAGAGCTGGGGCGACCCAGTTGGACGAAAGAAGTGCCGGTGCCTTTTGGAACGAGGGAGTCACTTCACTCGTGGTGGCCTGGTCCTGCAGTCACAAGGCCGTGAAGTCCTGCTTGGTGTCAGGTGCAAGAAAAAGGAGAAGTCGGACGGACCAAGTCCTTCCGCGTTTGAGTTCTTTGATAGGCCTTAGCAGCAGCAGAAAAACGTGGGCAGCGAAAGGTGGGGACCATTTAATTCAAACATGTGCACGTGCCAATTCTGGTCATGGTAATGTACTTGTACTCGTATTGGTTGCGGAGTGGCAAAGCCAGAAGACATTATAGGTTTACCTACCCGGGAGTGGCCCAACCTTAACGCCTCGTTGGGAGCCCACAGGAGGATGAATCTCAAAATATTTCAAAGTAATCCTAGGTCGTCTGTGGTCCTGTTTCTGGCCAAGTGAGGACGTACACGTTTGAGTGTGATGTTGTTTGACTGCAACCAATCAGTAGTGTGATCCAGTGGTTGGAAGCAGTAAAAGCGAATTGTGCATCCCATCGAGCTAGGCATGGCATCTTTGTGCGGCCGTCTTCGGTCACGAAGCTCGAAGCATCTTGGATGAGTGACTTAGGGGGACTGCAATGGTTGGTCTGTGCCTTGCGGGGACACAAGCTCAATCTTGAGCACTTACTGTAGGCACTCTTGAAATGGTGCAGGTGCAGGTTGAAAATTGAAACTGCATTCTTTGGGCTCAGGATTCATTATGCCATCCTTTACACTTTACAATGTTCAGCCAGTACTCGTGAATCAAAGATTGGAAAAAGAGGTCACTTGGCCTGGCTCAGAGGTTGGCCGTTGAGGTCAAGCAACTTTAGAAGTTTACGCGGAGCAACTTTAAGTGTCTCCTAGCTCGGAGAAGCTGCAAATGGTGACTGGGTTTTCGGTGGCACCGCGACTTCTGAGGTCGTGTGGTTTTAGGCGGTTTAGGATTGGAACAGCCGGAACAGCCCTGAGCCTTTGGCCACCTATGCAATTAGTTGCAATGGGTAACAAAGGTACAGCAGCTGTTTCTTGGGGATTATGTCGTTGTTCAGGTTCCCCGAGACCGTTTTCATCGCAACTTCACTGTCCAGGCTTCGAGCACCACGTGCGTCGGCCCAGTGGATTTGGTCATGGAAAATGAGGCTCACAGAGCTTTTCATGATTTTTCATTCATTAATTTCTCGCTTTGTTCAGTTTGGGGGTGAACCGGGTTTGGCTCTGACATTCTCTGACTCATAGCCCCCCACTAGCCTGTGTAGTCTCCACATCATGAGAACCTGTCGGAATGGGAGGCTTTCAGGCCTGCTTCTTGGGACGGTCTTTGGCACCTTGTCGGCCGCATGCCCCTGCCCCCTTTGTTGATTTTTGTTGTGTGCGTGTGTGTGCGCCAGGTGTGTTTATGTTGCGCACCTTCTATAGAGAGAGAGAGAGAGGCCATTGCAAGATGGCTTTCGGAGACGAAGGCGATTACCAGGGTCTCCAGTTCGAAGTCAGGTATATATATCCACTGGAGATTGGTGGACCCATCGAAGACAGCTCAATCTCAAGCAAACAAAGGATCGACCAGGATTCCAAAGACCTCAATGAAATGAAGAAGAACTTGGTAATTTCCTGAGGTCATGCTGTTCGCAGTCCTGCACCAGCAAGTTCACCTCCAACACCATAATACCGCACCTTCCCCCTGCCTCTTCCCCCGCACGCGCAAGTCGACGCTCTGAGGCCAACGACCGCCTCCCCCACCGAGGCCGGGTGCAGACGTGGACTGTGCGAAATCGGGAGATTCAAACCTTGGCTGTAAAAGCGTACTGGGTGGAAAAGCGTACTTGTCGGTACAAACTCCGATCCACCTCCGCCGGAGACCGCGTCTCAGGTGTCACCTACAACAACGCCACCCTCTTCGGAGGCCGCGCTGGCGCCGGAAGCACCGGCCGCGCCGGCCGCACCGGCAGCGCCGGCCGCGCCTGCACCAGCCGCGCCGCTGGGGCCCTTGAGGGGGCACAGCAGAGCCTGGGAAGAAAGTGGAACAATATGATATAATGTGAGATAATATCAATCTTAACAATCTCCAAGGGCGACGCCAATGCAAGCAAACTCAAGACCCTTTGCTCACAAAAGAAGAGCCTGGAAGAGGATAGGTAAAGGTTTCCAAGAGCCTCCAAAATGACTGCCTTTTGGGACGAAAGAGTTGTTTCCGATTCGAACGGGTAAGAAGCGCCATGAGGACTGAAGAGAAACAGAGCCTTCTGAAGCAAGTTCCTTTCGAAGGATGTCTTTTTGGAGTCTCTTAACAATCTTAATAGCCCCTGGGTTAGTTGATGCTCCGTGATCTCCCTTTTTGCTGTTGGCTGTGATCCTGCATGGTACCTAGGCCGCAAGATTCAGACAAAGATCTTAATAGCCCGGAAGCGTGAAAACGGGATATCGTGTGGGAATGTATGGGTAGTTCAAGGTGTGCGCAGGCGTTCGCCATGCCTTCGCCTTGACCTTTTCATGTTTACCTCCCAGGCCCCAAGGAAGCCCAGGAAGCTTAGCAGGGACTCTCAGCATCTCTCAGCATCCTGTTGAACTGACAGCTGGACACCGACTGGAGATAAACGGAGCGAAGGACATTCAGAGTTGGTTTACGAAGCGTTTGCAAACTCACTCATTTGATGACACTTGATTGATCGATTGTTTGATAATATTGGTATTGATTGATTTGGCTACGGCCAGAAACATAAGGCTTGGATCACACACCCAAACCCACACACGATCCATACCTCGATCCATGGGGTATGGATCAAAAGGTGGGTGTGTGATCCAAGCCCTTGGATCACACAACCACCACCACCACTACTACAACCACCTCTCCTGCCAGCACTCCTTCTGCTACTGCCACTGCACTTGCCACCTGCTGCTACTACTGCAACAGCTTTACTGCTGCTGCTACTGCTATTCACTACTATCACCAGTATTACCACCACCACAGATTTAGCGGAAGCCACTAGACTCAGCTTCAAATTGGCTTCCCATTCCAGCCAAAATTAATTACCGGAAGCCACTAAGTGTGGTCACAGCCGGGACCCGAACCACCACTACTACAAACCACTACTACAACCACCTCTGCTGCCACGACTCCCTCTGCTACTGCCACTGCACTTGCCTGCAAGCCACTGCTACTCACCACTATCACCAGCATTACCACCACCATAGATTTAGCGGAAGCCACTAGACTCAACTTCAAATTGACTTCCAGCCAAAAATTAATTACCGGAAGCCACTAAGTGTGATCACAGCAGGGATTCGAATCCTCACACTGTCGAAGTGAAGAATTGGAAACCGACGCTTTTACCATTAGGCTATGCAACCCTTTGAGTGGAGAATCCAACCCAAATACCAGATGTTAAAGAAGGTGCTAGAACACAATATTAAGGCTAAACAGAATTAGCGGCAGCCACTAACCAGTATTCGGAGTGAGCCTCCAATCTAGAGCTGAAGCCACCACCTGTTAAATGTCTTGAGAGCCCACTGAGTCACCAATATGCGTGGCCAGCTGATGGCCTTTTTGGGCTTCTTGCATCGTTTGCTTGAGTTGGAGGAAGAATGTGCCCCAACACTCATTGCCGCCGCTCTGTGCCAAACCAATATGTGGACAGTGGAGCCCAAATTCACAGCGGCCAGAACTTCAAAACAGGCTTGCCACAAACAGGATGGCTTTGATCTGGGAAGCCACCACCTTCACAGTTCACAGTGAATTGGTGAGAAAGTGGTGGGGTGAAGTGCCACCATGCAGATGTGTTCATGTCGGGGGCTTGGATCAAGTGACTTGTCGGTTTGATCCATAGGGCTTGGATCAGCGCTCTGATCCATAGGGTTTGGATCACTCCCACTGCAGCGCGGAACGATCCATACCAGGGTTTCTGGCCACACCCATTTGATTCTGCACTTCACCTGACACTGGTCCCAGGCTCCATTTTGTTGGGGTGTAGGCGACGAGGAAGTTCATTCAAGGCAGCCTTGTAATCACATGGCCTCGCATGGACTGGGTCGAGGACCTTTGTCCCGACTCCAAAGCCTCCTTGGGTGGTTTGGAATGATGTTCATTTGTTCTTCATTTTCCATCCCTGATTGGGAAGAGTTCAACATGTTTCTCCCAAGGAACCGACATCTGGAAGATGCTTAACAACTCACCACCAGGAATCGGGCCCATTCCTGCCCCTTTCCTGCCGCTGGCCCTCGCGTCGACGGACCTTCAATCCAATGCGTTGATAGGAGCCCCTAGTAGCGTCCTTGTTCCTAGTAGTGATGCCAGGAGCCCCTAGTAGCGTCCTTGCTTCAAGTAAATCTTGAACAACCCTGGGACCTGAGTCACGTGGTGAAGACCCTTTTGAAGCCGGAAGCGATGATGGAACGAAGAAAATGGTCGGCACGCATATATCACGAAAGCCAGCCAATAGGCTAGGTAATTTTTTTGTTTTTGCTGCCAAGTCAGTTAAAGTGGATGTAACCACGTTAGCCTGCTTGTGTTTTACTTTGCCAACTAGTTTATATTTGGTGGGTTGGTGATGCAGAAGATGCAAGATCGGTTTGTGCATCATTTGCATCAGCAACCAATGCCTATTCAATTTCGCTGGTTGGAGGTTCAGTCACTACCTTCTGAGGATGTGGGGAACCTGGTCCTACTTGAGACATCAGTCGCAAACTCGCTCTTGCAGCACCACCGAAGGCACCACCGAAGGAAAAGCCCAAGCGACTGACCCTTGGGGAGCGAAGCTTGGAAAAAGAGAAGGCCCGGGCGAACGGGCGAAGAGCGCGCGAAGAGCGTGTCCGAGCGTGTCAGCCCGGGCACCGAGAAAACGGGAAAACGGTCCATTTGATGGACCCGGTATACCGCCCCACGGAAAGCAGAGCGCACGACAAGCAGTTCATCAGCAACTCTCGCAGCATTGCCTGCTAGAGGGGCCGCAGTGAAGTGTACAGTGTAGAGTCTAGAGGGGCCCTAATGAAAATTGTGTCTTGAGGACACAACCTTGGCCGATCTGCGATGGCCGATCCATCGCCTGGATGAAGTCACGAAGTGGATCCTTGGGACCTGCCGTGGACCCCAACCAAGAGCACTTGATCCCTGTGGTGAACAAAGGGATACTGAAGAGTTGAGAGATTTGGTGTTTGGGACCCCCCCCAAACAAAACATGGTTGTTTGACTATGGTGACTACAGGGTGGTTCATCACTATGGTCTGGAGATGGTCCTCCACTTTCTCATGTTCAACAAAAAAGCAGATGTCCCTGGATGTGTCCATTTTGTCACATGTTCGCATGTTGTTGACACATTTCTTCGCCTTCCTTTTGAGACACAGATCACCGACGCCCGAGCCCTTCTCGTGGCACCAAAGCCGCGCAAAGCCATTGACCACGTCTTAAGTGCATTCGCGTGGTAGGCGAGGGCTCAATTGGAATTGGCGCAGGCGATGGAGGCAGATCCGCTTGGCTGCGTTGGGGATTCAATTTCAAACGTCCCACAATGTCCCACAAGTCCATTCGAGTCGTTTTTTGGAGGGGTTGGAGGCCATCACTTACTAGGTTGAAGGCCATTGCTACAGGTTCTTATGTTTACATTGGGCTTTAAGTCACAGCCGGTTCCGAGTTCCGGGTCAACCCCTGGCAGAAGGAGAGTTGGCCACGACTTAGGGCTGAATCTTCTCGATTGGGAAAGCGTTCGAAGGTCGGGATTCCAATACTTGTATGTTGTATGATTTTTTTTGTTGGGCTGCCCAGCAACAGTCAATGTTTCTCCTTCATTGAAACAGCTTCATCTACAATCAAGACTCTTGACTTGAACCACTCAGGAGATCTTTAGTTATACTGCTCGTGGAACTTGTTCAATCCAAGCAAGGCGTTTTGGTGCCATTTTCGTGAAGATGATCCACCAGCTATTCCTTCCGCCTTCGAAAGGTCCTCAAATCACCCCGAAACCGCTGAGTGGGCGAGGTGATGGTGATGTCATGAAGGGGCTCACAGGGACGTTGGTGACCACTGAGCTTGCTTCCAGAAATGTTTGTTTGGTTGTTCACCATGTTCACCCCACTGGTTGTTTATGACAAGATCATAGGCGCCTTGCAAGGGGAGGGGAATTCATGTTCATCGCACTTGTAAGAGGAGAAACTGCAAGGCATGCCCAATCCGCCCCGAACTGGAACCGTTCTGACAACCTCTGGAGTCCTGAACATTGGTTTGGAAAGGAAGTGTGGAAAGCCTGATATGCGGCAGAAGAGGTTCCTGAAACCAAACCAAACCTTTGGAAGATCCTTGGGAGCTGGTAATGTAAAACCTTTTGAGTTGTGCCCATTTGATGCGATTTTGGGAGAAGAGCGAGGGAACCCTGTAACGAGGTCCTGGTAAAGCCAACCCAGTCAAAGACCTTGACAGCAACTGCCGAGGGTGAGCTCTTGGCTCTAATTGTGCTTGTGCTCTACACTTTTTCCGAGTAAAATCGTAGTGTTGGACGCGGGCAACTCCAACCCTGCTCTGCAGATACAGTTCCTTCTCCATTTCCCAGGAAGGCATCTCCCATCATTCATTGGTGTGGGGAAGGTGGCGACTCCGAACTCAATGTCACACTGCAAGGACCACGATGTCGAGGCCTTACGCCGTGCCGGCGCCCAAGCAGAAAGGGACTGTCACCCGCTTCCCCAGCCCCGCGCAGGCGTGAGTCTTAAATCCATTTATTTCAGAAAGTCCAGCAAAAAGAAGTGGAGCTTCATCAAGTTAAATAGAAACCGGTTAGACCTTGAGTAGCATCCGGGAGTTGAGTTGAATATATGCCTGAAACTAGGCTTTATCCTGCAATTTGCAAAATACTATTATTGTCAACGTCTTTGTTTTGCAAGGAGCGGGGAAGAGCACAACATCTTGGCTTCTCCACAACCAAGCGCCGCTCGTTTCAACCCATGCCTCCCGCAGCACCTGAGATCCTGCCGGTGGCCAACAACTTGGGCATCAACCCCAAGGTATGGGAGCATGCATGAGAACTGTGGGAACTCCCTCCGCATATTTAAACTATTCTTGAGAACTGAAGCTACTAGGAGCAAAGGGCATCGCTACTAGGAACAAGGACGCTACTAGGTTACTAGGGGCTCCTGGCCTTACTACTAGGACCTAGGAGCAAGGACGCTACTAGGAATTCTTGAGAACTGGGAGTCGCCTTAGAGTGAGTCTTTTGTAGTCACTACCCGCTCCACGTTATGGATCTTTTGCAGGTGTGCCGGAGGGGATGGAACTGGCCTTTGCGGTCGCCACTGTGGGGTTGATGGTTTACAAGATTTGGCCAAAGGTGAGCAAAGCAAGAGAGAGACATTGGTACTGCAGTTTAACTGCGTCATTGGGCCCTTCACTTCAGGGCATGCGCTTCAGGGCTCTCTGGGCAGATGTTCGGGCGAACATGGGAGACTTCCCAGGGGGCTTCCCGGTGAACTGGTGCGACCGCGATGCGACCAACGAGATGAGAAAAACCGATTCATTGCGATAGGAAGTGGATGCTGCCAAACGCATCTTGAGCTTTGAGGCGGCAGACCGGCCGTTGGCCGCATGTTTGGTGATCGCTTATATAATCATCCAACCACCTGTTATAATTGAATCACTCTCGAGTCGAGTGGAATCTGTATAGATCTGTAGAACAAGACCGATTTTCTATGTGAGCTACGGTCAAAACGTGCGAAGACCACTTTAGTAAAGAGGGGTAAGTTTGTGCGAAAAAATACCTGCAAAACGATAAGGTCCACCTCAAAACCGATAACCCCAGCGCTGTATATGATCATAAGTATGCGACGAACTCAAAACACTGCAACACGATAAGGTCCACCTCAAAACTGATGACGTCCATTTTTTTGTTGAAGAAGAATATGGAGTTTTGACCGTCACTCATGTCCTATTATACTTGTTTTCTATCTACTGCAAGCTGGATATGCACACATTCGCACATGAGTAAGCAGGATGACTTAGTGCTTCCAGGCTTTAGTTCTCAGAACGAGTTATTCCGTGTGGTAAGAGATACTGTATAACACGATGGATGTGAGCAATGTTATATATACACATCCAATGAGTGCTAAACCGAATGACTTCGGCAAGGGTTGGAAAGGAGATCTCGCATTTGAGACACATTTTGGCTCAAAACTGCCACTTGAATAACCATCAAGGGGCAAACATATTCTTGCATTGATAGGACTTCATTAGGTAATCCAATTTGTGTGTGTTCTTTTGTCCATCCCACCACATTCATCACATGTAGGCTGTGAAGTACAAGAAGGCAACCTCGGTTCCACCGCCGAAGTCGCAATTGCACATCCTCCTTTGCATGGGTATCAAAAACATGATAAAACAGATATGATCAAGATTCACAATCATATTGTATATCAGGAACACTGTAGCACTATTATTACGGCGGAAGGAAGGAAGGAAGGAAGGAAGGAAGGCAGGAAGGCAGGAAGGCAGGAAGGCAGGAAGGCAGGAAGGCAGGAAGG